CTCTTTTTTTTCCTTTTAGTTTTAGCTTCTGCCTGCTTTCATAAAAGAACAAACTTATTCTATTTGTACTTAAATTATTTACCTCGCATAACTCACAGATTTATAAAAGGCAGCTTAGACAATAAGACATCCAAAAAGAAAAGGTTTTGTAATGCAAAAAAAGAATATTTTCATTTAAGTCTATAGATATTTTCTTATATAGTAGCACATTTGCATAATAGTCCATATGTTGGGAGCTTGCTTAGAGACTGCCAGTCCCTTCTCAGTCTTCAGAGATCAAACAGCTCCTACATCTTATGAGTAAGCCCCAGTCACTGGGATTAATTCATGTTCTCTTCTCTTGCTCTCCTGCCAGCCTTATGACTCTGACTAACAGTTTTAACAGAAAGCTTCAACCCTTTTTCAGAGGACACGATGGCCAGTTGGTGAGGATGGTCTCACTGTCTCCACCAATAAGAAGACACTAGTGGTAGCATCACCAACAACAGAACTTTGCTCTTTTATGTTTAATGCTCTGCAATAGAGTACTCGGGAACCCAAGTGGAAAGAAACGTCTACTGCAAGTCAGGGCCTTAAGCTCCAGAGAGGGCACAAATTCAGACACACCAAATATGCTTTGAGCCCCTTGCTCGCTACTGAAACTCTTCACAAGTTCATGGAGCTCTCTCCTCTGGCTTTCAGACAGACTGTCTTCGGAAGCTTGGATCTTTCCCCTAGCATTTGTAACTTAGGTTGCATTGACTTATTTTTACCTGTATCTTATGACTCAGATGGGTGAGCATGTTTGGGATGTTTTCAGTAACTAAAACTTTTAATTTATTTTTAATCCATACTCTCTACTTTTTTTTTTTTTTAATTTACAAAAATTATCAATAGTAAAGTCACCTATACATAAGAAATATGAATAGATAGAAAATAGCAGAATTTGCCCATATCCGACCAGTAGACCTTCTTCTCCATTTCTGTAAGTCCAGAGATCCAAATTACGGAACACATGCCTGGCAATCACTTACCTGAACTATATCTGGTTTGTGGCCCACAAACTCTAATGATAAAACATATTTGTCACACCTTAATTTGTTGGTTAACAGCAATTCTATTTATACTGTGTTCTCACAGACTGCCGTAAAATTACAGAGAATTCAGAAAAAAAAATCAAAATAATTTCTTTGATATATGAAACTACAAGAAAAATGTACTTCATTAAAAGGTGCTATGCAGAAGTTAATAGACACTTTGTGAAGTATTGACCAAAAATCTTTTAATTTAAGATTTCTATTATGGGTACTAAAAATTTAAAATTCAATGCCTATATTGTCTTCTGTTCCAAAAGGTCAGTAGTCCTTTACCATTTTTGCTGGTATTATACAATTATCAAGACGACATAATCATTATGAAGACACTCATTTTTAGAGACAAGCATGTTTGGGGACCTCATAAGATAGGAAAAGACATCAGTATCAGAACCTGCTAATTTACAAAAAGCGCTATATTTACAAAATAATCACAGGGTGATTTGGAGGTAACAGATGGAAGTAGAAAAAAGTGGAAATGTCAAAAGTACAATGGAAAAGCAAAGGAACGTATAAGAATGTGTTTACGTGAATAATCAATATTCTGTATACAATTAAAAAGCATGCATTAATAACTGCATAAAGGAATGCCTGAGGCTGGTTAAGAAGCAGTTTGCCAGCAGGCCGGATAGGAGCAAGAAGATATAATCTTCAAGCACAAAGGACATCAGATCCCAGAAAAAAGCATTTACATAGTTCAGGTCCTCCCTGGCTCATCCAGTAAAATACTGCAGTGGGAACCACAGTCAGCTGCACTAAGTGACCGCCTACGGGGACAGTCACCAAGGCTACCTCCTTTTATATCATAGAAGGCCTGTGAAGGCAATAGCAACTAAACAACATCATTGCTGACTGTGAAAACGTAGCCTCAGTGTTGGGAAATGGATGGGAATTTTGAAAGAATTGCTTAGCCTTACGTGGGACAGAGCTGAGAGCTTCTCAAACTACCATTATACTCCGAACTCAGGTAACACTGGGAACTCTGAACAATGATCTACCAAATTTGTTGGCTGAAGAACAACTCAAGAGATAAGCATGTGACAAGCTGAAGCTAAGACTGCATTCTATATTTGTTTTATTAAATACCTCTTTCTGATAGCCTAACCTTAAAACCTTACCAAGGCAAGTTTTGTACTGTTTTATCTATAAGCCTATCTAATATTGTAAGGTGAATCATGAATCAGACAAATCAGAGGTATGTAAAATGAACAAAATTTCTGAGGAATGAACCTATACTCTGGAACATTTTAAAACTCAATTGGAACTGAGAATTTTCTACAAGTCTGCTAAGGACAGCGTAGGAAGAACATAAGGATGGATGTTTTAGACAGTAGCAAATGCCCATCTAGTCCAGAAGTCCGTCGCTCAAAAGGAGATGACTAGGCAATATAAACGTAGGACAAGCAGAGGTGATCCATGTGTTTCACTAAACAACCAATAGATTCTTTTTTCTGACATTTTTGAACCTCCACTGAACCCATGTAAACTTATCCAGAAAATTTGGGGTTAGGAGTTCCAGAGCTTCACATCACATACACTGCACTCACTTTGGTTGGTTTGTTCTGAACTGGTCACCAGGTAACTTGACCTTAAAGTAAGTTGACCTTAATGTCTTATTAATACTTTATTTTTTTCCCCCCAAATGTTTTATTGCCTGTAAGCTTGTTTAGTGTGAGAGTGGTATTCACAGGTGCTGAATTTGGGAAAGAGATTCTTTCAGCAGACAGATACTGGCCTAGCAAGGTGGCAATGACGAAAACATGGCTCCTTCCAGCTACCTTAATTCTGGGCAAAATTCCACAGCGTCAGACTTAATAGACTTCATATAACTCCTGGAAGATGTACCAGAATTCCTTGTTTGCCAAGCTATACAGAAAAGAAGGCAGAAAAGTGTACACTCCCTCACCCCATCTTTCACCAGTATGAAGCAGCAGAGAAAATAGCCTGGATCAGTCTCTATACCTTCCTTATAACTGGGAGCGAAGACCTGCACCTCAGTTGCCTATTAAGCATATCTCCCATAGAAAGGAGAAGGAAGGAAGCATATATTTTCTGTCAACCACCAGTGAAGGAGGAAAGAAATACAAGCTTTTTGAGGCAGGGAGAGATAGAGGAAGAGACTTTCCCTATCACCTGCTTGCAAGTACTGAATAAATTGAACAATTTCATAGGGAAGGCCTTGCAAATAGTATTCATTTCATTGCTGGTAATACTGAACTTTCAAACCCTTTATTCCTGAAAAAAAGTAATGCTTTAATAAAATGTACTAATTTTGAACTATTACTTTTCATTTCTTTTTGGTTTTTTAGTTCCTAAATGCCAAATATCAAGTTAGTGATATTTAGTTAGTTTGATATAGGCACAAATTCACATAGCACAGATGTCATGCAAATATGTTGAAAATATGTTTTATTTTGCTCACAATACAATCAAAACTTAGGATATATTTAGAATGTGTTTAATGCCTTATTAAGCTATGTACCTGTTTACACATGAGCTTTCCCTATTATTCATCTGAAATCACTGCAGAAAAGCCTAGTCAAGAGAATTTATGGGCTACTTCAGGCTGAAGTTTGGAAAAAGCATGCGTCGTATATTCATTAATCAATGATAGTCCTTCTTTTTACAGTCTTGTTTTGTGCTAGATACTGAAATTGGATCTTTTAAGGAGGAATCTTCTAATTCATAAGGAGCCCTGCTGAAGTTACTTAAGTTCAACCTACAGATTTTATTCATAACCTTTCATCCCTCAACTTCTAGAAAACCACAGTTGTCATCTGAACCATGTTGCATTTGTGGAGTTCCATATGTAACTGCAAGTTTCTCACTAAGTAAAACAGAGTCACAGACATATACATATTTAAAGGGATCTAAAATCTAAATCTCATTTGAGTGTCTGAGTCAGTCTTTGTACAGGCATTTTTCAATCTGAGGTGAATCTTATTGAAGAGTGAGTATAATACAGCACATTCTGTAGTAATGCAAACAAAAAGTATAACAGGAAGCAGTCCTGTAGATAACTATTAAAATGCCACAAATTTCATGAAAAACCTCTTTTGCAAGATTGTGAGGAATTAACTTCTTTTGATCTATATGGCTGCATGTCAATAACAGAAACTTTAAAGTCAGTAACTTGGTAGATTATTGAAGAGATAAGTACAGATAGTTTTACTACAGAAAAAATATTTTAAAGATTAGTTTGGCAAAAGCAAGATACATGGTGTTGATTTCAGCCGATGACTGTGATGTAAATGCATTCACAGTCTACGGTACTCACAGTACCCGTTATTAAAGACTGAAACTGGCAATACAGGTTTGCACTACAAAGAAAACAACATACTCAACTGTAGATACAAATTAGGTCTACATTTCTCTATAGTAAAATCTGCTAAGTGAGCAGTAAGAACTTCAAACTTCACTGTTTTGCTAGACATTAAGTAACTTGAAATTTTTCTACAACAAGGAGTTCTCTTGACCCTCAAATTAATTAGTTTGATTGCTGCTCTTATTTTTATTCTTTCCTAAGCCTGCTGGTAGCATTGAATTGCTTGTGAAGAGCACAGATCGGAATAAAAAGGCTGGACTGAACTAATGTGTTGAAGGGACGAAAAAACCTTTGCAATTTATTAATGTATTCAAAAGACTGTTACAAAACTTTACAATTTAATTATTGGAAGATTATAGAACTGCTTCAGTGCTTCTGTACTGTGTTAAATAAACTGTACGTGCAAGGAGTAATAAATGAAATTGTTAATTTCAGCACATCCTTAGGGAATAGTAAGAGAGGGGGCTTACATTATTTAGAGCTCCAAATGGATTTGAGTTTATATACAGTAATAAATCTTAACTACATTGTTAATTAACCCTGCCTCAGGCCCCTTTTTACCTTAGGGGTTGGAAGACGCAGTGTCTGTTAGGATAACTCACCATTCATATTCTTAAAGATGTTTAGGACCGGGAGGATTTGCCGATAATAGGGCACCAAGGCCTCCCCCACCATGTCAGCTGACACCACCAGGTGCTGGAGGACTTTCAGCGTGACGCAGATGACCTGTCGGTTACGAAGGCTCAGTGCATCTGTGATGTAGAAAGAACAACAGGCAGAAAGCAGAATTAATTTCTAAAATGTAGAGGAAGGGGAAGGAGTCCTCTAATGGACAAATTTAATTAAACTGTAGTCTGCTGGGGATTGTAAGTAGGCCTTTATTAGCCCAGCTTTGAAAGATCCCAAAGATGGATTGCAGTCCTGATGTTATAAAACACTGCCTTGTCTGATTGTTATTTGTTCCCACAATTTGTGCTGACTCTTCAGTAACCCAAAGAATGCAGCTTATTATTCCCTCATGCCGCCTGTGTAATACTGGCATGGTCCAAACAAATAAAAAATAAATGTTCAGTAAGTACCATTTGGGGCCAATGGAAATGTACAACTGCAAGACAACCTGCAAAGGTTGACAACAGATACATTCTAGTGCAACAATTAGTGTTTGTATGTTTGTAGTCATTTATTTCACGATCATTTTATTCATTCAACTAACAATTCCTACTATTCTGAGAATCAGGACAATGAAGCAAATGTTTAAAGGAAAAAAAACCCACAAAAAAACCTTGTAGGCTTTTTGTAAAAGACAAACATTCTAGAAAAAAAATAAATTGTCTTGCCTTCTTAGATTTTTCTCTTAGCTTTCAGTGTCATGCGTCTAATCTTATGACACTAAGACATTTCATAAATACCTTTTGTTTCTCTTCTCTTTTAATTTTACTAAAAGCAAGTACTTTGCATTTTCTTTTGTAATTAAAAATGAGTCATGCTTGAAATATATATTTTTTCTTCTTGCAAAATCCCTCTAGTTATAAAACCTCCTCTGAATTTATGCAGCTGCAAGCAGTCATCAAGTTTGGTACGCTATCATATATTGGTCTAATTCTCCAGTGTTCTGCCCACTTACATAGATGTTTACATTATTGCACGGGGAAAGCAAAAGCTGTAAAAGGTAAGTTCATATTCAATGTTTTATAAACACATAAGTATATAAATATGTGACTCAACATACCATAAATAATTTGAAAAAATTATAGTAAAGAACACATCGAACTTTGAAGAGAAGTTACTAACAATTTCTTCAAGAATTGCCTCTTCACATTGAAGAAACAGGATTCAGTATTTCTGGCACAAAGTTTTTTCAGTGCACAGACATGCCCTTTCATGGAATGAAGTAGTATTCTCACACAGGAGCAATGTCAGTTTTTCCATCTCTTTAAGCAAATGCACTGTGCCCCACCTGTTTCTGCTTCCTATCGCACACTTGCCGAGTGTTAAAAACCAGAGCTAGAGCACCACAGCAACGGCAAGGCAGATTGGTTGTGTGAACCTGTAGAGACAACTCTTGAAAATCAACTAGTAAGTAATCTCCCTTCATGCCTCTTTGTGTGCTTAGGAACAGCATAGTAAAACTACTGTTAAAACAGAGTTACAGAGCCCAAGGGATAAAGGTACTGTAGTGCATCATAGGGTGATTCCAAGTTAAAGAAGCGTTGTTAAATGAAAATACAGCCTGAACTCCATACTACTTATTTGCCAGTCCCTACTGTAGTCATCAGGCATCACCTAATTTCATATTGTCTCTGAGCTTATTAATGTGTGCACAGGAAGTCCACCAATGCAGCATGCTCACACTAAGTTCCCGCAAAGACATTGGCTATTCCAAATTATGCTTTGGTGGGTAGATATTCTACGGCTGCTTTAGCAAAGAGACCCCCAGATACAATTTTAAAGATTAGGTCAAAATCCCAGGAAGAAAATATTCTCTTACAGAGGAAAAGACACTATTCATTTTCTTAAAGGAGTGCCTGGAAGGGGAAGCTCTAGGATTCCAACATATAGGTTCATTCATGACTAAATTGTCATGCACAGAAATAGTAGCTAATTGAACTAATAGGGAAATTATTATTAACACTTGTAATATTCAGTACCATAATTATTAGTTATTCATAAAAACATGAATTAATATTTGTATTCATTTGTATGAATGAATTCTTACAAATGTGAATAAAATGAATAAAACTAATTATTCATACAAACACTAATAATTAACTTAAGGGACATAAAAATTAATCAATGACAGAAATCAGAGCTTCTTAATCCTTAACCAACAAATTGTACCCACATCCAGGAATAGTTCTTCTTGATTGTAGGAGCTGTCCTAGAGGATGAGAGACTTTATTTTTAGGCATGCAGAGGGTGTCATGTAAGTGGAAAAGGCTGTCCAATCACCCTTGGGAAGAAGTTTTCTGTAGATGGTGGCTCTGAAAGGTTTTTTCAGTTTCCTGTTTTCAGAGTTCTGCCTTGTGCAAAGACAACCTTGGTTTGAGTGGAAGGCAAGACTGTCCCAGTAAAGATTAATTCCTTAATAAAGTCAAGAGTGTGAATTCTGCCTCATGACTGTGAAGGCGTTCGAATGCGTGCAGCAAACTGAACACATCCTGAATACAGAAGAGTGTTTTCAAAGAGCAGCTCACCACAGAACACACCATGCAAGTTTTGTTACATCTGAGTTATGCTGTAGGGGTGCTTGCTGGAACTTTAAACAGTAATTCTGGCACTTGTTTCATCTGCATGCCAGAAAATCAGCTGGATGCTTGTCCCACCTCCCTCAAAACAGGGGCATCCCATCCTCCATTTGACACACAAACCAAAAGACAGAATTTGGATCAAGAATTTGAGTGCTAAAGTGATGGATATGTTATAATCATACTGCAGAATTTGAGCCTGAAGCCCTTCAAGTTGCAGAAATCTGCAGTGTGTATTAGGAAAACACTTGTAAATATCAAAAGTAAGATGAAATTGACTGCAGAACTGTTATTATTATTAAATATTTGGACTGTGGCATGCATAGCAGTCAACCAGCTCCTGGCTTGATTATATTAGGCACTGTACAAACATTTAATTAGAGACAGTCCCTGCCCCAAGGATACATCAATTTCAAACATATGTTTATCTTTTAAAAATCTGGTAATTATTTCCTGTGTACTGCCATCGCTGCAGACCATTCTCCCACATGAATCAAAAGAAGAAAATTTTAATGCAGTATATGAAATAAGTACATTTCAACATTTTGAAAAATGTCAGTGATATCCAGAGGTTAACAGAAATGGAAGAAAGTACTAGCATCCTCACACAGCAATAAAGCAGACCATTTAAAACTCCTAGTATAGTGCAGCTACATATCTCTAAAGAAGGAAACATGCATAATATCCAAAGTAATGCAATTTGAAAGCATGCTAGGCTGTTGCCTCTTGACCTAGAAGTTTGCTGTAAGATGTGGATCTTCACAATAACAGCAATGTGAATGATCGGTTTGCTTCTCAGTGAAAGATACCTTTCCACTCCCTAAAGGGTTTTTAGAGGACTTCCCTCCCCGAATGGTATATATTGCACTTTTGGTCATCTAGTCTATGCGCTATGCATTGCACAAATCTCTTAAGCAGTAACTTTGAAAAAAAACCCCAACCCAATAAATGGACTCTGTTGCTTGCTAGTTCCAATGTTTTCTCCTTTAATGGTATATAAACATGACAATTTTGCTTGTGATGAGGATACACACTTTTCCAGGAGACTGTCCAGCTTGAAAAACTGCTCAATGCAAGTATATAATGAAGACTCCAAACATTTTATTTTGTACTGCTACAGTTTTTTCAAACAAGTATTTCTGAAGTTCATCATAACTTGCTTAAATAAAAGAGAATTTTAAAATGCTAGTAGGTTAAATACCTGGTGGAAAAGCTCAGTATCTGAGTCAGCTCTGTGTTTCTAGCATTCAAAGCCATACTAATAGATAATTATGAAATTTGAAAGCATATTTGAAACACTGAACATTTTGGGGATGGAAGTTTTTCACAGTGCTGTTTATTAAATCTTGTTAGCGATGAGCTGATATACAATACCAATTTATTGGCAGTTTCAGCAATTTTTTTTTTCATTAAATTGTATTGGCAATTGATGTAAATTTAGAATATTCTTTTGTTAATTTCCTTTAAGAGCAAAGACTTTTCTTAAGATATATGCCACTTGTTTGTTTACCCATTTAGAAAGAAGCAGCTTACGTATGAAGCAATAGAAAGAATTTTAAAACATTCAAGTCTTTTTCTTGAGTAACACTTCTAATGTCTCAAAGAAAGAGACCTAGAAGCTATGTAAGTTGATATTTTTTATTTTTATATTTTATTTTTATGTAGCAGTTTGGAAAATCCTACCTCAGTCTCAGATGTTGCCTATAATAGAAGCCACAATTCTCATCTTCGGGATTGATACATTTTATAAGCCAGGAAATGTAACAGCATTTCTCCCTGCACACAGTGGATCTTTTCCATCACAATGTATTTTCACAGAAGAGATCAAATCAGAACATTCCTCCCCAGACACCACATTGATAGCTTAAACTTTACAGAATCGAGTCCGATTCCCCAAACTTCCATGTCTTTTCTAAATATTAACGTTTAGGTTTTGATAGTTATATTTAAAGTGATGCTAATATCATTATCTTTAATTTTCACTGGCCTTTAATTATATTCAACTCTTTTTTCAAATACACCTGTGAATCTATGTTTAGAAATGCACTGACTCCATTTTCTATTTCAGTCTCACAACCAATTTAGTTTGCATTCATATCCCCCCCGCAATAGGTAAATGAGGCAACCGTTTTAGAAAATTCTTTGCCTGAAGCAGAACATGATACAAAGAGCAGGTCTCCTGCAGGGCAACAAGCACTCAGGATAAAGATGTCTCGATTGTTGTGATCCACTTAATCTTGTTGATCAAGGGCTGCTTCTTTTAAATGCACAGTCAGGTTTAAAGAACAGCTAACATGAAGTGTTCTCAAAATGCAATTGATTAAAGTGATGCATACTTCTCTTACAGAGAATTTTGTCCAAAACTTTCAAAATGCATAACACAACTACCTGAACTGATATAATAGAAGTATTATGCTAATTTTACAGAACAGTAATGAAGGCTGTTACAAAACACAGCATTGCAATCTAGAGTGAATGAAAACAAGAAAAACAACCTTGTGTTCTGT